TTGTTGTTTTGGCCTCTAAATCTAGCCATTCTTAGCTTATTTCAAGCATGTTTTGGAACTCCATTTGGGCTGTTTTATGACTGTTTTGGGCTGCCTTGGTCATATGACTTATGTGTTTGTATAGTTATAGTGCAATAGCCTTGACTAGCTTTGAGTTTTGAGGCATTTTGCATGCTTGGCATGAGGTATTTGCATGTTTTGGCATCATTTGACATGTTATTTTCAGAGCATATAGTGTTGTCACATTTCCATGTTCTTCACTCTTTAAGTGCTCTTGAGAGTTGTACGTTATGCCTTGTATGTGAGCTATTGCATGAGCATCATTTTTTTGCCTTTCAAGCCATCATTTCAGTTCATTTAGGCCACTGTTTTGGCCTATTTAAGCTCTGTCTAGAGTTGGTTTAGTCCATTGAGTATTGTATTGCGTGCCTCTTGTATGATGCTCTTTACTTGCTTTGATGCTTTAGCCCCCAAACATGCCATGCATACATTGCTTATATGATAGGACCTCATGAGTGCCACTCTAGCATTGATAGATAGCGTGTTGTTTGCATGTGTGTTGCATAGCATTGTGTTTGGATCAGACGTTAATCCAAACACGAGGAACGAAGGACGTTCCATACTCAAAGTGATGAAACGTGCCTCATTCCTTAGGTGACCGACACCTTTGGCCATGCATAATGAGATGGAGGTTCATCGAGTCTTATGTGTTATTTATGCATTCATCGACATTATGCAAGCTTGACTCTTTGGCTATCATGCATTGAGATGCGTGATTGATGGCTCGAGAGCTGAACACTGCACTCCTTTGAGCTTGAGAGATGATAAGGAGTGTGGTTGCACACACATTCCCTTGCAAATACACTGCCATGCCCTTGTTTATGCTCTATTGCAGCAAAAGGAGAAATTGCAGGAGGAAACGGCCGATCGGCCGCCAGAACAGCCGACCGGCCATTCAAGTTTGCCGATCGACTATCAAAAGTGGCCGATGGCCATAAACTCTGGCCGAGGGCCACCATCTTTGGCCGATCATTCCTCAATATGTTCCTGAGATAGGTCAAAAGTAACCTAGAAGTTGGCACAATTTTCAGAAGACCAAAAGAGTGCAAATAGAGGCATCATGTGGCACAGTAGTGGATTTCTGAGCAAAGCCGACCGAGCATGCATATCCCCTTCGCTTCCCGAGGCCATTTGTTTAAATTGCTTAGCTAAAGTAGTTCATTAGCTTAGTTATTTTGTAATTAATTAGTTAAGTGTTTAATTAATTTATTTGGTTTGTACTTAATTAACTTAGAATAGTTAGTTGATTCAATTCGGTTTGTAATAATTAATTAGCTAAGTTAGTTAATTAGTTGATTTATAATAATTAGTTTAATTAGCGTAGCTAGTTAGCGAAATTCATTCAGACCCTCTGTCGAGAGGGCAAATGTTGTAATAAGCGTGCATGCGTGTGTTCATGTCTTCCAACCCCACGTCTTTCTCCATTTTATTAACTAGCTTTTGATGGTTAGTTTTAGAGTATGTTTCAATTAGCATACTTATGCTTTGCATGCGTGCATCATTCATTCGTATTGCATGCACCGGGCTCGGTGCATCATTTAAACTGCATTGTATTTCAATTCCTATTTGAATATATGTATCAATTGTCACATTCATATGCCATCTTAGAATAGTCGAGCCTACTTTAGTCGCATTTTGCATGTGTTGCATTAGGCATCTTAACGTAACTAGGATCATGCATGACTACTAACTAGCTTTTGTTTTGGCTCGGAGTACACTGTGAGTGCTTATGCTTTAGCATCCTTGCATGTGTGTAAGTGACTACCATGATAGCATTCTTGCCATGAGGCTAACTGCTTAAATGTTTAACTACATGAATGCATGTGGGTGAAGGCTTCATTGCTTGAATTGAAACAATTCATCAAAATGTGCGTTTTAAACCCACTTGTTTGTGGCAAATCATGTTTTAAGCCCATTTGAGGGTGACGAATCCGCATTTTAGCCTACTTGAGGGTAGCAACTTCAAACCATTTTCGAAAAATAAACATGAGATGTTTTGTTCCAAATTGAGTGATTTAGTCTATACTTGTATGTTGTGCACATCACATAGTAATTCTAGATTAATAAAATGGAATAAGAACACATGTGTTTTCAAAAACAACATATCATGTTAGTAGAGGCCGATCATTTGATCGGGCGAGTGGGGGTGCTCATTTCAGGATCTTCCCCTCTCGTACCCAAGTTCCCGAGCCGAGGCAACTTTGGTGATGACGGATACGTGGCCTTAGGCACAAGTCAGTGTTTCCTAAATTTCCCAAAATAAAATATTTAGGTGGCGACTCTAAAATCTGGCAAAGCAGTCCATGTTTTGGCGCTTTTTGATTAAAGTCAATTTTCCAAAACGATTTGCCGGATTTGGACTATTTGGTGATTTATCAGTCTTACATTGCACTTTGTGAGATTAGATTCAGAACCGTGACAGGAGTCCGAACTGTAGTAGCTATGAACCCAATTCGCGCCCTCGCGCGCGGAGCCGAGTTCGGGCAGTCTACACAATCCTCCACTCATTTTGCTTGGAACCTCAACAAATTCTAGCAATGATCAAGCTGAAATGAACTTTTATACAATTCTTGGTATAAAAGTTTTGCTTAAGAGATCTGAAATTAAAAAATAAAAGTCTTGTTAAAAACAGTAACAATTGCAAAATGTATAATTTTTAAAAAAATTAAAATTACCTTGTCTTGCTCATTTATACCACTTTGATGCCTTGATTCAATTTGGGCAAAACATCCACAGAACTTATTTGTGCCAAGTTGAATGGTTGACCACCAATGCATTAGAGAGTTCACATTACGTTCATGATTGGAGGTCTTGTGTTTGTGAAAGTACTCATATACTCTTGACCAACATGTCTTATGTTTTTGCTTATTCCCATACATTGCATCCAAGCTAGTATTAAGCCTTGCCGATACAATGAGATTGTCTTCATTTATAGTGAAGTTTCCACCACGTGATCTTTTAGTAGTGGATCTCATTTGAGGTCAGAATTGAGTTGTTTTAATAGGTATTTGAGTATTTTCTTTTAAATTTTTACCCATTTGATCTTGCGAATCCATAAAAATGAAATCATCAAAGTTGGAATCCTCGTGCAAAAGATTGGTGAAGTATTTGCCACCTTGTGAATCCATCCTTACATATTGAATAGAAAACACAAACAGAATTCAAACAAGAGCTAACTATTTTTAACAATTTCATGTGTAACATATGCAATAATTCTATCTACTATAAGGCCATCAACAAAATTTCATAATAATCCACCAAAATTGAGTAATACAAACCAAATAAGATTTGAAACCTAGCAACAAGGAAGCAAGTCCCAAACTAAGAAAAAAAATATGAAAGGAAGAAACAAAAAAACAATAAGCCCAAAATGTTGACCAAAGTGATCACTTCATTACTTGGAAGTTACCAATTCAAAAATACATGAGGCATTAACAGGGCATTACCTTTAATCAACAACTCTTTATGTAAAATATCTATTCCTATTCAACCACAAAGTCCATACACCAGAAAAGTCACAGATTCTCACATAAATTTCTTCAATCCATTGATTTCTTCAATTTTTAGGAAGTAAAATTGATTGCAATCAAATTATCAAAGCCCTCATATATATAAAATGTCTATTCATATTCAACCATAAACTCCATAAATCAGTAAATTAAGACAAATTCTCATATAAATTTCAAATTACCATCACCAAAACCAAAGCATCACATATATTTGCTTTGGTGAAGAAGCAAAGAGAGAGATGCACACTACACAGAGAGAAAATAGAATAGAAGAAGTAGGGTTTAGATTGGGAACAACACAAAGAAATTACATACCAAAAATTGCCTTTGGTGATGAGGATGGCGAGAAAGAACAACCTACACCAATGAAAGAGATTCTTCAGAGAGTCTTTGGTGCCCTCCAATTTCCCTTTGCACCTTCAACAAAATAAAATAAAAATTTATCAGATTTAGGGAGCTACAGTGACTAGCAACACTTATATTTGAGGGATTGGATAAGGGAACTGCTAGGAGTGTGTTTTGACAAAAAAAACCTCCTTATTTTGGCGAATGAGGTAATATAAGGAAAGAGATGAAGATGCTCTAAAGATATTAGTTTAGGGTATAATTGGAATATGTGAAGTATGGATTGAGAATAAAATCATAAAACTAATTTTATAAAGATGTACATTGAGAAATTATGGGGGTGTTTGTTTGGGCTTTTTTGAGCCAACTTATATGCCTTCTGCCTTTTGAAAAACTATTTTGGATTGTTGGTTAAACTTATTTCAAACAGTTTCTGATTCTAACAACTTATTTTAAGTCCAAAAAACTGATTCTAAGAAGCTGCTCATCCCTTACTTCTGATTATCAGTTTCTGTTGTGAACATGTTGATTTACGGTTATACTCTTAATTTTTTTTATTTTTAAAAATAGAAAAAGACCAATATGGACTATAGATTATTATTATTATTATTTATGATAAATATAGACAAGTAGTGAATAACAAAAAATAAAAATCAATTGAAAAAGTTATTTCACAGTTTATTTAACAAACATTACTCAGCAACTTAAATGTAAAATTCAATAGTTACTCTAAACAAATTAACAGTTTCTAATTAAAGTCATAATCTATAATCTATTAGGGCATGTTTGATTGGGTGGATTAGAGCATGTGATTGAGATTATTAATCCGTGGATCTAATTATCTCATGTTTGTTTTAACATTTTAGTTTAAGATTATTAATCTAATGAATAATTAATCCAATAAATTTATAGAATTATTAGTAATAGGGTAGGTGTGAGATTATTAATTCAATAAATATTAATCTAATTAAATAATACATTAATTTAAAATTATTAATATTTCACTATTAATCTCGTGAGCTTAAGGTATAATCTGCAATCTGTTACAACAGTTACACAAAACGGCCCTACGTACACGGAGATCAAAAGGGCCCGTGAAAATAGAATTTTCCGTTTTTGTAGGTTGTTCGTATTCGTGCATCAAATGGAAAAACCCTAATTTATAACCGCCAAAACCATTACTATGTATGATAAAGTTGGGCATCGCGACAATTGATTAAGTCCGAATAGTGAACAGGGCTTAGAAGTAGGTTCAGTCTTCTCCTTGTACTGATTCAAGTTTTCCTTTTATCTGTAACTATATTTTTGTGTGTGTATCTATGTATGATAATTATTAGGGTTTTGCTAAAAACTCACAAAAACCCTTAAATTTTTACCCTTTTTTTGATAAAAACAATTCAGAGCTTTACGTGTTTGTTTGTTTGCTTTTAATGCACAGATTAGATATGAAGATTGCAGTGGAAGGGTGTATGCATGGAGATTTGGACAATGTATACGCAACTCTTTTGCATTTGCAAGAAGTAGAGAACACGAAAATCGACCTCCTTATTTGCTGCGGTGACTTTCAGGTATACAACGAAAGCACTGCAATTACTCTCTTTGATGTTGGATGTTTTAATGCAGTAATTTATTTATTTGATCTGTCCCATTTTTTATTTTTTTTTGGTTTCCTTTTATTGTTTTTGTTAATTTCATTCCTAGCTTTACTGTGTTTGCATATAATAAATTTAGGGTTCAGAGGTTAAACTTGGAGCTAATAACTTTTGAGGTTGTGGGTTTGAACTTGAGAGCAGCTACTTTGTGCAAAAATTGCCAAATGTTAGGTCTGCCCCCAATCTACCTGTCACAGACCCGATTCAATTGGGACTAAACTGGGTGCACTTTACTTTTTTTAGTTAAAGGAGCGAATTTTTTGAAGGGATGATTTTTTTTTATCAACACCTGTTGTTGCTTTATGTTACTTGATTTTGGCTGTTCAAATAATTTATTGCCTATTATTCTTTCTTCACGTTATTTTTTGAAACTTGAGTTGCTTTCAATTGAGAACAGGCTGTTAGGAACGAGAATGATTTGGAAAGCTTAAATGTGAAACCTAAATATCGTAGCATGAACTCGTTTTGGAAGTACTACTCAGGGGAAAAAGTAGCTCCATATCCAACTATATTCATTGGTGGAAATCATGAAGCATCTAATCACCTGTGGGAACTGTAAGTAGCTTGTTATTAATATTTTTAAGTTGATTTGTTTGCCTGAGATGATGACACACTGCCAAAACCCAGATAACTGTCGTGTGAGAAAATCTAATCGAGGATTGGTTGCTTGTTAGGTTTTCTTATGTTATGCATATATGTTTAAATGAAATTGCAACTGATGTACCTGCTAAAATTCCAATGTCTTGGTTTGCTAATAATTTTTTTGAAATTATTTATAAATTGCATTTAAGTTAGTTTATACATTTGCAATTATCTTGAAGGTAGTGATCTGCGTCAACAATTTTAGGTACCTTTGCTCTTTGTTGGACCTTCCAATATTCAAAACCCCCAAAGAATAATCTAATATTTCTCTAGCGTCTTGTGCATATCCCTTGAAAATTTGACACGTTCCACATACCTCTTGTTAGATTTTCTCCTCGGAATTCTATAGCTTTTGTATGGTGCATAATTCACGGTGCTATGAATGATCTATGTCGATGACCAACTTTGGTGGTCAGATCATTTTTATTGGGATTGCAGGTTCTTTGAGAACTGATAACTGAAATGGTTCACCAATGTAAATCATAAATTTATGTGGTTTATGTAGATACTATGGAGGCTGGGTGGCGCCTAATATATACTTCTTGGGGTTTGCTGGAGTGGTCAAATTTGGCAATATTCGTATTGGTGGACTATCTGGAATTTATAAGGCCCAACATTATCATTTAGGTTGGTTAATTGTTGTGGACTTCAATAGGTCATGTATTCCTATGAAGTATTGTGTTCTGTTCTACATGTTATGTTGTTACATTGCTTACCTTTGAGTTAATTGATTTGTAACTTCATATGTTACAATAGTCCCTAGGTATCAAAGGAAAATAAGCAAAATAGGTGTTTCATGAGCAGGACATTATGAGAGGCTTCCTTATAACGAGAATGATATCCGGTCTATATATCATGTACGTGAATATGATGTTCACAAGCTCAGCCAAGTTGAGGAACCAATTGATATATTCCTTTCACATGATTGGCCTCTTGGTATCACTGACCACGGGAATTGGAAGGAGCTTGTGCGATATAAGCCCTTTTTCAAGCAAGAGGTAATGTCTTGACATGCTGCACTAATTTGTTGATAACTTATATATTTAAATATATATATATATATGTCTACTGTCCACATATGTATCTATTTTTTAATATTGGTCCTAACTTCTAAGAAGGTTTGATTTGATTTGTAATGGTGTTGATTAGTTATAATAATTATGAATGATTTTCTAATAATGGGTGTGGGTCGTGGATAGTCATGAACATTATTTAAAAAGAAAAAAAGAATGCAAAAACCATGGCTCATCAACAATTGTAATGGTTGACTCTTTTTCTCAGCTGGCTTGCCCCGTTGAAGACAAAAGTTGACTCATGCATCCAATATCCTACGTCCCTACTGGTAATGATAAGAGGAAGATAACTGTTTCCTAAACTTGGAGTTGGGTATACTAAGGTTTCCATGATTTAATTGATGGTATAACAACAATCATACGTTTTCAAGCCACCTCGGGAATTTTTTCCTTTCATTATATTTATATAGATTGTTGTTTGAGAAGTGATGCATCTTATATTGGATTTTATTTGCCTATACTTCTCTTGGTGCGACTTTGGTCTTAGACTTTGGTATGGGTGCTGGTTGAAATTGGACCGTCACAAAAATTTAACTTTGTTGGAGAGGAGAGGGCAGCTTCAGTGGTAAAGAAGGAGACATAATTAAGTAATCCCGTCTCACCCCCTTTTTCCTACTCTCTGTAGGCTATGTGGTTATTGAAGAAGCAATTTAGAAATTCCCAGAAATATTCTCAGAAATTCATGAGGTTTGTTCATATACGTACAAAACCTCAAAGTAACATTTACTCAATAAATTTTAGATAGATAGTTCAGAAAGAAAGCTTTTGGAGTCAAGGAACTATCTTGTAGACTTCTTTTGTCTAGATTTTTAGTATTTAAATGGTTGGTATTCACAACACTGCCTGTAATAGTATTTAACTGTGATACTGGGAACTAGGCTTTTGAGGTAGATGTAAACATACATATTGCCCCAATCTACCATAGAAAATTTGTGACCTTTTCTTTTTCTCATGCAATATGAATAGGCAAGTTTTCTTTCTAAGCATCTTATATGCTATTCTTGATACTATTGTAATATGATGATTTTCTTTGTATTGATCACCTGAACACATACTTATTCAGATACAGGAAAGAACCCTGGGAAGTAAACCTGCTGCAGAATTGCTGGAAAAATTGAAACCAGCTTATTGGTTTTCAGCACACCTACACTGCAAATTTGCTGCTCTAGTTCAACATGGAGAGGCAGGCATGGTCACAAAATTTCTTGCACTTGATAAGTGCCTCCCAGGACGCAGATTTTTGCAGGTATCCTTGGGCATCCTTACTTGTTGTCTATGTGGCCTTTATTGTAATAATTGCTTGCAGCTAATGTCTTCAGTTGTGGGATTCACTGAGGTTTAGATTATTGAAATTGAATCGGAGCCAGGACCTTATGAGATTCAGTATGATGAAGAATGGCTTGCAATAACAAGGCAGTTTAACCCTGTATTTCCTGTAACCAACAGACGTGCATATTTTGGGTGTGTACATTCTTGGGATGTGGTCTATTTGACTTTCTTTTACAATAACCATATATTAATTTTTTGTCCTTCGGTTACAGGGGTGTACAATTTAACATGCAAGAATGTCGCCAATGGGTCAGCAATAAGCTACAAACAAGAGGGGCTAAACCTTTTGAGTTTGTGCGGACAGTACCATGCTACAATCCCTCTCAGTCTGTTTCTAATGGTTCCTTTATGGGTAATGTTCTGAGATGCTTCTTGTTGCTTTTGTTTTGTCTGATGAGCTCATATCAATAGGATCCCTCAATATGACCCTTACTTGGGTGCGCATGAATTGGAGTTAAACCATTTATGGAACTATAAATGTAAACAAAAAATTGAATGTGTGTGGGTTTGTGGACAGTCCTGTGCCGCAATCCCTCTGAGTCTGTTTCTAATTGGTCCAAACTAATGACAATTTTAGTATATGTTGTTTTCGTTATTAATTCTACTTGCTGGATGAGCTCTTACTTATAATGACCATAACCTGGATTGCTAAGTATTGTCTCTAACTTGCTGCAAATTTATTCAAAACTACTGTATATGAACAACTGAATATGTCTAAACTATTACATGCAAATTTATTCAAACTACTGTATGTGTTGTTTTCTGTTAATGATTGTTTAATATCACTAGAAATTGATTCTTTCAAGTACTTCAAGTTATAATACTTTTATAATTAAGAATTGTGTTGTTGTCTAGAACTAGAACTGCATCTGACGGAGGATAGGTTTGCAAAGGACTTCTCTGTTTTGCTGTGGATAATGGTCCTTAGCAGGTCCAAATTTTGCAGTTTGGAAGAAATTAATTTCTTTAAGATTATTTTCTTTTGCTAAAGGACATTACATGTTGCTGGTCCTTGTTAATCAATACTGGGAGGGGTAATACTGGAGACAGACCTAACCTCTTTCTTCACAAAAAGTAAGATATTAGTAAAAGAATGTATTCTTCTGAGAAAGCAGGTTCAAGTCTAAGGGCAAGTATGAAGGTTTTTGGCAGAGTTCATCCTAAGTTTTGGCTGTTGATACTGACTTTGAACTTTCACTCTCATGGCTCCCACTCATTTTAGTTGCTCATTTCTTGCCTGAATATATTAGGACTATTTGCTCTATTTTACTTGACATAAATAGCTTCCTGAATTTCTTATAAAGAAAATCTTGTTAAAGGTGGCTTAAAGTCTCTGCAAGCTTGTCAGCAACTTGGGATCGAACCATGGTCATGCACTTACTGCACCGATTAAGAAAATCCAACATGCCATCTCATCTTGCTATGCTCTATTAAGTGATGGTTTCTATGGTTAACTGCTCAGTCTATAATTCCGCAAATCAGAGTGCTTATAGATTTAGTACATTTAAATTTTGCTTTTGAAATTATTTCCACGAAATTGGTGTTGTGTCTGCAGATGTTGTATCTAAATGAATCCAAAATATGTTGTATTGTTTGATATTTTTTTTTTCACCTTGCATAATGTCTGAAATTTTGTTGTTATTATCCTTTGTTACCGGAATCTTACTACCATGGTAAGTTGAGAAACAATGCTGTGGATATTCAGAGTCATTATGTTTTAACTGGTATCATGCTACTTTCAGTGTAAGAATCAAATGCTTAGGAAAATATATGTTATAATTCATTTTCTTTATCTTGCAGGATATAGTAGAAACCCTCAAACAGAAGCTTTTTTGCAGTTTCTAGAACTTCCTTATATTCTTGACAACTACACATCAGAATCAAGGGAACAAACCCGTAGTCCGGCTTCCTTTGTTTCTACAGGTATAGGAATACGTTTCACCATTCTTTTACTGCAATTATTGAAGTATTGGGTGACAATTCTGGTCAGACCAGTGTAGGCCCAAAGTTGAACTTCATTGCTGGCCTAATTGATTGATTTAAAAGTTGAACTTCTCGTGTCAAAGACCAAACGGTGACCTGCATTATGAGCTTTTGGGGACTGGTTTTGACGAAGTCCTAGAGTTAGATTTGGTCAGAACTGTCCTATGTCTGGATGCAATTGAATGTGCGAATCTTTATGCACTTCAATTTTAGTTTGTTGTAGTTCAGGCATGCGAGATTTGTAGGTGGCTTATACTTCTTAAATACGAGAAACTTTTGTTTCCATGTACACATGTTTACAGTATGTCATGAGCTTTCTGATGTGAAGATACTCATATGTAAGAAACTCCTTGACTGTTTTCTTTGAAACTTTCATCTGGAGTTTGTTGTGTTGATGCTTCCGTTCCTGGAAGTTTGTTACTTCTATATTAAACTTTGTCCACCTTCCCTCTCCTCCATCCACACTGCGGGGAATGACACCCTTGTTATTGGTACAGGTGTAGGTTCCTTTGACCATGACAGTGACGTGGATGAAATAGAAGAACTTGCTGAAGCTCATGATGCAGAAACCCAGGAGGAAATTTTATAGAACTTTGGTGTACCATTTTCTCAGCCATGTCCACTTTTTTTTTTTGGGAAAAGCAAGTTTCTTCTGTATATATGAACAGAGTTCACCAGCCTCTGCCTGATGACGAACACATTTTGAATTGTCTCTTCTATCTGTATCTGTCTTTCTTTTGTCTTGCATGTCCTTTGAATTGTCTAAATTTCCTGCTTTTAAGCCTCTAGTTTTATGTACATGGCCGAGAATTCTCAAAGTTCTTGGACATGTGAAAAACTACTCCATACTTTGTACCAGTATGCATTTCTGTAAGACATTTTGTGGACATTATAGAAAACTGTTTTCTTACAGGATGGTTAGGCATGCCGAGAAGGCAAATTTTGGCCCCGATTCCCTGCCCTAAAAATATGTCTAGTGATGAAAGTTATCTTGATTTTCTACCCTTGTTCTAATACTCATTCGTAAGATCATATGAGAATCTTAAAACACAAATATCTTAAAACATGGGAACAAACAGATTTGGTATTGTGAAAATCTCAGACACAAGAATTTTGAGACAGTGAGAGAGAGATTTGAGAATAGATGATCCTGAGTCAAATTTTGACCTCCCATTAAAAGTCATTTTTTGAAGTTGAGACTGCACGAGCATTTTGACTAGAACCACTTGGGAGAGGAGCACTAGTTGTGTTCTTATCCTAGTGAGAATTGCATTGTAGGCCATACACTTTGTCTGAGTTCTGTTTACGACATCCCCAAGATGAACCTGACCCACATAGAAATCTCCATTGTGGCACATTACTCGCGGACCTTGTTATTCACGGCTTGTAAGATAGAAACTTTTGACTAGTCACTGTGTCTTTGGCTGTTAAATACACTTACTTAGGACTTGGTTACAATTCCAATTGATAGTTTTGATTAAGATGAGCACTCTTTGACATTTCAAATTGGTACGGTATGAATGTTGTGAAGATGAGTTTTGTTGTTCGCATGTTCAAGAATATATAATATATATATATATATATATATCTCTGCCTGTTGTTGAGTCAGTGTCCTAGTGGTCACCGTCATCATCATTTTCTCGGATTTTGACCCTTGCAAACCCTCCACCCAGAAAAAGGGGAATGTATCCCGGAGAAGTTTCGCATCTTTCCTCCAATAACCCCATGGCATTCATGGCTTGTTGGACCCCTTTCTTCTATATCTTTACCAACACACATGCACTAACATTTGTTAAATTTTAAATTTTCAAGGAGGAAGTCTGAACACCGACCCTGATACAGATTGTCAAACCATCAAAGAAAAAAAAACACACGAGTCAAAATACTAATGCAGAAACGAGAAGAAATGTCAAAGGCCACTAAGCACAATAGAGGAGTTGAATATTTTTTCTTTTCACTTTTAAGTGAAGCTACGTGCAATCGATTATGATTTCTAATTATTTATTATTTTTAATTTTCTTTTCTTAATGAAAAAAAAAGGCAATAGTCCACGCGTTTTGCATAAAAGAGCTCGCTCGATCAGCTTTCACTCATTTGAAGTAGTGGGAAAAGGAATGGCTAATCTTGTATACATACTATAGAGACCAGTTCTTGTCGTAGCTTTGGAGATTGACTTTGTGGGAAGCTACAATGACACTTACTGGTTGAGTGCGAAAACACAAAGTGGGTCCCACCCATGGCTTTGTTTGCTTTGTGCCAAAAAAAGTAGGAAAAATAACAAATAATTTTTTATTTTTTTTATTTATAGATTAATGGTAAAATTTATAAACTTTAATTATTAAAATTATAGACTTGTCTATTGTATGTAATTAGTTTTGAAAAGTTCACCTGATTTGTAATTTTTTCAAAAAAGTACACACATAAATTTTTTTAAAAAAATGCACTGAATTATTATATGTTATTTTTTATGTCATCGGATTATATGATAAAATATTATTTATTTTTATTAATTTTTTTAATAATTATCTATAAATAAAAAAATTAGTCATAAATAACTATGTAAAAAGTGATATAAAATATCTACAAATAGTAATAAGAAAATAGTGACATTTTGCGTTTCTCTAAATGCAAACATTTGTGTGTGATCGGTGATTTTGATGATTATAGCATAGCTCTTTGTTTGTATAAAGTTTTATTTTATTTTATCTTTTCGAGACATTCCAAATTGGAGGTGAGGGTATGATATGAAATTATTAGACCTCGACTTGTGTTTGGTTTGTTAAAAAATTATTTTAGATTAACATGATATAAATAAGTTTAATTTGAATTTATTTTGAAACTTATTAATTTTTAGAGCTTAGTTCAATAAATTATTAAGTATTTTAAGATGAAAAGTGTGTTGCAAGTAGATTTTTTTCATACATAAAATTCATCAAGAATAATATAATAATGATATTTTTGTAATTATAAATCACAATGATATATAGTATTGACTGAAATAAAAAATTACAAAAAATACACAATTTTGCATGTAATTTATTTTATGAAAATCATGCTTGCATAGTATTAACCTTTTTAAGACTTAAGAAATTAAATTATTCAAATTCAGCTTCTAATTAACCCAATTAAATATTCTTTGAAGATTGACTTCAAACTTAAATAAATCAAATTTGGATATATATATATATATACATGTATATTTATAAAACTCAAAGCACTATTTGGCTTGACTTTGCATGTTTGGCGTATTCTCATTTACAAAAGCTGAAAACGCTTCCACCTCTATAGAGACAAGAATTACCCTAAAATCATAAAATCGCCCTTGTTCTAAAGAGTCCTACAAAAGACAAGGATTGTTCCCTTAAGTGGTACCCATGCCCCACAAGGTGACACTCAAAAAGTCATCAAACATGTCGTGTCCCTTAGTGCCCTCTGATAGTGTTAGTAGGTTGGTCCACATATGCACCATATGATAAAACTAAGGGTAATATTACAATCATGAAAATTTGAGATGTATAACATTTTCTAAAATGAAGGGCCCTTTGCCCTTTGCAAAGGCATGAGGCACTTGCAGTCCCATTGTTTGGATTATTGACACACGGTTGGCATATTTGAATGGTAAAATCATCCAATTTTGAAATCCGACTTTAGACTTTTGTCTTCTTCTTTCTTCTCCTCCCTCTGCCTACCACACTACCAAATCAGCATGCCATGTTAGGCTAGCAATATAGTAAAAGTCGTGTTTATGTCACAAACTTCCTTTACTTTTTGTTCCATTGTCCGATCACCATCAAATAGAGTCAGCTTAGAATCCTGAAAAAGATCAAAATTTGATAAAGAATCAATTCAGGGTAATTAAGAGGACCAAAATTGCATTAAAGAGTCAGTTAATGAGCGTGCTCTTGTTAAAAAACAATTGGTCCGGCGATTTCAGAAATACTTTCACTGAGATAAATAAAGAATTTATATCAATTTTATAATTGTTTGTTAGTAGTCTCATAAAAACAACTTAAATTTCTTAAAAACACAAATAAACAAGAAGCCCTTTTTATTTTTTTAACTTTTACTAAGATAAATAAAGAATTTATGCAAATTTTACATTTTTTTTTTGAAAACTCTCATCAACATCTATTCTTGATAATTTGATAAAGACAATTTAAATTTCTCAAAATCACAAATAAACTAGAAGTTCAATACATCATTTCTATAGCGATCACGGTTTTCCCTCCATTGTTTATTGTATTCCGGACTTAGGTTCCGGGTGTTGGTTGTTGTATAAGTTTCATTTCCGTCTTTTAATTCTTTGTATATGAGTTTTAGGATATATTTGGCAGGTTTGTTACAGGTTAGTAGTGAGTTTAAACCAATAGTTGTTGCCCAGAATTTTGTTTCTTCGCTCGAGCGAGGCTTTTGTCGCTCGAGCGAGCTTTGTGTTTTAGCTCATTCGCTCGAGCCAGGGTTCTTTCGCTTGAGCGTACGTCTGCGTCTGGTTCTGGACCTGAGAGTTGCATTTCTTGGCTCGAGCGAGCTTTCCTTTGCTCAAGCGAGCGAGGACTTTGTTTTGGGTTTCTTCGCTCGAGCGTGCTTCTGGGTTGCAGACCTGAAGTTTCAATTTGTTGGCTCGAGCGAGGCTTTCTACGCTCGAGCGAGGTTTCTTTGTGTCTGGTTGTTCGAGCGACCACTCTTTCGCTCGAGCGAGCCTTGAATATATCAGTTGGCAGCAGCGGGATTACACTTCATTTCTTCACCATCTCTTTTACACAAACTCTAGATCCGGCTGCTCCTTCTCTCTCTACATACCTTCTCTCTAAGATTCCATCTACTTCTAGAGTGTTTTTACCCTAATCTCTTTGTAAGAAAGATAGAGGGTGGTGTGGGCTTCACTTTAATCTGAAAAATAGTGGATTTGGAGCACTTTGGGTTTTCTTCATCTACTCCTTTGGGCTTCTAACTTCGAGGTAGGGATAACCTACTCCATTCTATGAGTTTTAATATAAATTTTAGTCATTTTGATTAGATGGTATTGTTGGGTAATTTCGGGAAAAGTTAGGGTTTGATGTGTAATTTATAAAAAGGGGGTTTTCAAATTTTAAACTCCATGTGTATGTGAGACCTTGGAAAATGGGATTATTGTTGTTAAATTAATGCAATTGAACCTTAGAGTTAGGGATGGCAATTTGAAACCGACCCGACGGGGACCCGACCCCCCGATCCTGAATGGGACGGTTTTTCCCGAAAAAAACTCCCCACGGGCCGGGGATGGTATTAAAAAATAAACCCCCGATCATTTTCGGGCCGGGGATGGGGATAGATTTCCCAACCCCGACCCCGCCCCGGCCCGTGTACACCCCGTATGTATCCCCGAATATATATAGTATATGTGTTTAGGTTATTTCATTTCATTTCACTCCTTTCTCCCACTCACACTCTCTTCTCTAGGCGATGCTCTCCCTCTCTCTGCTGTGAATCTGCGATGCTCTCCCTCTCTCTGCTGCGATGCTCACGGCGATGGCGCCGGCGTCGGCGTCGGCCGCTCCTCCTCTCTCCCTCACGGCATCATTCCTCCCTCTCTTCTCTCGGCCTCTCTCCCTCTCTCTACTGCGATGCTCACGGGTGTGTTTAGGTATTTGTTATTTGTTATTAAATCTGAAGATCTGAAAATATGAAGAAGAAGAACAAATCTGTATATATATCTGATGAAGAAGAACTTAATTTTTTTGTATATTAATTTTTATGTTATATATATATATACAAATCTGAAGAAGATTTTTTTCTGATGAAGAAGAACAGATTTTTTATGATCTTCTTAATGTTGCTTTTTGAGCTCACTGAGATGTTGATGTTGTTGTTTTGGCCAGGGATTTTCGGGGTCAGGGAAACCCGATCCCCGTAGGGGGCGGGGGTGGGGGTGGTGG